GGGGGGCCGCCAGTAGAACGCCTTGCGGCGGGATTTTGCGGACCATGGCGGCCAGCGTTCGCAGCGTGGCATAGTTGGCCAGACACATGGCGAGCTTGAACGTTGCGTCCCACCCCGAGGTGGGGACGATGGTGCGGACAAGCAGCGTCGTGGTCGTCCGCCACCGGGCGTCTTGGGCGAGGATGCCACCCGACTCTTTCGCGATCAACACGGGGAGCAGTGTCACGAGCGGAAATAGCACCGTCAGCGCAAACCTACACCACAATTGACGGTCAATATCCCGGTAAAATGCCCGAAAACAAAATGTACCCAATGATGCTATTGACAAATAGCCGAAACGTCGTGTGGAAAAACGGAATTGTCGAGAGAATGAACCACGGTGCGACGAGACAGTGGAGGATGATGCACGACACGTATGTTGTCAAGAGACTCTTGTTGGTCGTGAGGTGCGAGAGCCACCATGCTTGCACACTTTGGACGCCAATTTCAGCGCATTGAAACCCGCCTAGAGACATGTTGTCAAAATGGTGGCAACTTGAAAAAACCAGAAATTTGAAAATACGAGAAATGCAACGTACACAACCAATAGTGAGGTGTCCGGGTGTGCATGGTCAGACTGTGCAAGAGCGATCCGCGGCGTCGGCGGCGCCCCGTCGGGACCATGTCCAGTGCTACGCCATAGACGTGCAAGGCTGCAAGTAAAAAGTACATGCTGCCGCAGAGCTTGGGCTGATAGGCATTCAATGTGCTATGAGGATTTCGCGAGTGAGCAACAAATCACTTGTCATGAAAGAAGTGGCGTACATGCGCTCGGTATTGGAGAGAATCGTGTAGATGTAGCCCGAGACGACGAAGTAGACGGCCGAGACTGCGTGCTTGCAGATGCAGAAAAGCCACATGATGGAGCGCGACCGGATGCGAATCTGGCGCGGCGAGAGCGAGCTGCGTCGACGCAGCGCTGTCACGAGCTCCACGAGTGACCTCCGGTGCGTCGTCATGCGCGTATCTATTTTTGGCGCGTTTTTCTGATTGACGTGCGGGTTTTACTCCTGTGCACTCGTACATAATTATACGTTCAACTATGTTTAAAAATGGACTTTCGTGATTCGCTTTGTGGGTATAGATCGTAGGAACAGCGAAACACATATTCACCGTCACGGCAGCCGCGTTTGGAGGGTATGATTGGTGACACGAAGCTTTTGTGCTTAAAGCCCAAGAGTGAATGTGGAGTCCTGCAAAGTGACGACATGTGATACTAGTAGCACCAAACAAGCTGTGAGTTTGCTCGAGTGAAAGGATGCAAATAGAGTACTCTCTCCGTTTTGCAAGCTCCATATTCTGAAGGATTGCTAATTGGTGGTGTGTTGAGGCATTTCTAATCATGCAAGCTAGTTGAAGTTGCGTTCTCGCTGTAGAGCGAGCCACGTCACGGTTCCAGAAAAAAGGTAAATCGAGTGACCAAACTTCACAACTTGTTTGCGGCCACTTAATGACAAAAGAAACAAAGTGGCAGCGCCACAGCACATTTTAGGTGTTGCGTTTTACACGTTGATTTATCTCGGTAGGACTGTCAAACTCGAATTTAGAAGCTTGTAGCGAGCCGGCTCCGCTGCTGCAGACGTTGCCGTAGACCCGAGTTATATGGACAGAGTGTCCTTCCTAATGCGAACCCTTAAAGCATGCTTGCGGTGAACGTAGC